TCTTATAATTCCAGTACATTTTTATCACATACTCTAGTTAGCCCATACTAACTCTTTTCATCTTAACTGTAAACCCTTATCATAAACATACTCTTGTTTATGCGCAATACTATCACTTCGTTTCAAACTCATAAACTCTGACTTTATACATCTTATACACTTGTCACTGATGCACTTATCCTTAAGTTCTTCTATACGTACTCATCACATCCTTAGATCTTTTTAACATTCTTATGATGACACCCGTTCACCATATTCTATCTTATCCACATAATAACTCTATATCATTTTTCCGATTTCAAACGATGAAAACTTTCTATCATTATTCAGATATGATTTCAGCTTTCTGAAATCAACTTTTGATCTTACTAGGCATTTCCTGAGGAGTCCGCTCTTCATCTTGCCTGGCCAGGGCAAGTGAATAGCTATCACAATCAGGAATATCACCTTTCACTTACTTCGAAATTATCACGATCGGATTTTTCTACTGTATTAAACTATTCTTATTCTATTAGCAAGACAACATACTCCTTACACAATCAGATCAGAAATTTTTCAATTTATGTTGGCATGTACACCTTTTATGACACTTTGGACTTTGGTTTATGCCGAGAATCGGCTAAACCTTAGCTCTGATACCATTAAATGTAACACCCCCAACTCGTATCCGACCCGGATACGAGTCCGAAGTGTCACATTGACTTTTTAAACATGTATTCGTATAAAATAGTGGGTAATTTAAAAACTTTGATAACATTTAATTTATTTCAAAGCGTTTACAACAGATATCAGAGTTCATACCATTTATATCTTTAGACTACATGCCAACTACACTCTGTAAACAGTACATACATTTTCTGATCTGACATTTGGTAAGGAAAACTGACCTGTCTTGCTCCGCATTACTCTTTACTCTTCTCGAAACCTACGCGTGAAACAATCACACGCTAAGTCGAAGACTTAGTGAGGCATAACAACTTACAATGCACTTCATAACATATATCAATACATGCATGTTCTGTTCTATCATGTTATACCAATTCCATGCATTCTTCGTATCATATAAAATCATATCAGATTAATTACAGTAAATACATACAGACACATAATTCATCATTAACAGTTTATCATGTAATCACATACTTTTATTGTTAACCTTTTCAATCAAACACTATACACACACAACATCATATGGTTCACGTAACACATTTCAAACCACTTATAACCCCATCGTATACATATCACATTCAGTATGCTTGTTTAATCACTTTATTAGCCCATGTACACTAGTGAGAACTTAAGGTATGTGAGTACATTGAGGTTGTGCACACATATGCTGTCACCACAGCTCGATCAATGTCCCGAAGGACCAGTCCATAGATTCCGAAGAACCTAGGTAATCAGTCCATATGTCCCGTAGGACATAGGTAAACAGTCCGTATGTTCCGAAGAACATAGGTAATCAGTCCATATGTCCCGAAGAACATAGGTAAACAGTCCATATGTCCAGAAGAACATAGGTAAACCCTCGACCCTTGGCATGCCAACTATACCCCTAGCTCTCATATCACATAACATGGGCATTATCATTTATAACAGTTCACATTACTTATTCATATTCTTTCTCTTATAACCACTTATCCTTTCTTTTCAGTCACGTATCACATGTACGTGTAATCATTGATCTCATAACATATACTTGTTTTCACATATATATTCATATCATTTCACATATACACTTTCATATCACATGCCATATAAGCTCATAGCTTCTTTCACATTCTCATAGGATCACATAGTTCATATCTTATACTTTGTTTTCTCATGTTCACATATATCATGTCATATGGCTCATATCTTTCTCATGCAGTCACATAGTTCAGTTTCACATATGTTCATATATATACATTACATAGCACATACTTCTCATAACATTACATTCAAAAGCATGTTAACACATATAATCATGCATACATACAATTCATGTCATTCATATACGTATAATCATATATTCATGCATTCTAACAGAGGAAATAGACTTGTCGCAAGTCTTGTTTCCATTTAGCACCATAAACTAATTAATATGCACTCACCTGGCCTCACTAGTCAATTCAAATCTCTTATCTTTCCCCTTGATCAATCTTACTTGCCAAACGTTCCGGAATTCTTTATGCGTAGAATCTACATAAATGTACATTTCGAGACAATCATTAGATACCTACACCTTATAATTGGATACTAGCAACTTAAACGAACTTATTAAACCAATATTCGCATTTTCCTTTAGGGGGAATCGGTTCCCTACCATGGGGGTATCGATTCCCTCAAGACATTCTGGAATTCTGTCGTTTGAAGGGGTATCGGTTCCCCTTGAATGGGTACCGATTCCCCTTGCCCAGAAATCATATTTTCAACCCGAAAATTACTTCATTTCCACTCAAACCCTTCATATATCATCCCCTTTTCATTCTTAACTCTAGTATACATACTTAAACCAATCTATATTCATTTATTTCATCTTAAACCTCAAAATCCTATCTTCCATATGAGATTCAAAAATCATACCAAATTTTCAATGTGTTCTAATTCCAATTCTAACACTCCAAATCTCTTAATTTAACCATTGACAAGTCAAATTTAACTTCAAATTCTACTTATCAATTCTTTTCCAAAGTTTCATATAAAAACTCCAAATCTTTAATCTCTCTTAACCCCTCCATCATTTGTTTTTAAGATGATTTAAGCTTTCCTTAAGCTTAGTTATCATCTAATAATCAAAACCCAACCTTAAAATCAACAATTCATTTACAAACAAAGAAACTTACCTTTGGCTTGCTCTCCCACGTATGAAGAAGAAGAAAGGAGAAGAGCACTCTGGAGAGTTCTCTCCCTTTTCACGTGTATATCATTCCTTGAATGATCAAATGACCATTTAACCCTTAATTTCCTTTAACAATTACTAAATAACCTTCAATATATATTCAAATAATCATTGAATTATTTCATTCTTCTACTTTAGTCATCAAATTCTGAAACTTTACAATTTGATCACTAACCCGGTATTGAGGATGTTACAAAAATTATGTTAAATATAAGTAATATTTTATGTTATATATTTTATAATTAATATTTTTTAATTATACATATAAGATCTTGATTGATTAATATTTTTTTGAACAATTGCTAATTAAAGGGGAGAGAAGAAGAATTTTTGCTCATAATAAATATTAAACCCACAACCTATAAAAGAATGGAGATGTCAACTGAAAGCTTTTAATCACCTATGTTAAAAGATTATTGACTGATTAATTAATACTTAAATTTTAATAATGGATTAGGATCTACTTACACAATGTAAAACTCTTGAGTTTTACAAAGATTTAAGACCGTTTGAATGAGTGAAAATAGATAGATAAGATTGGCTCCTTGTTTTTTCCCTAATGAATATCTTCTAATTTTCTATAGTTAATCTCTTCCATTTATTTTCACTCATCCAACGATATTAAATATGTGTAAAACTAAAAGAATTTTACATTGTGTATCAAGATCCTATTCCTTTAATAATTTTATTTTAAAAAGATATGGTAAATTATAAATTTAGCAACTAAACTTTACTTTATCTCCTGATTTTCTCATTGTACTTTCAATTTTTTTCAATTTAACTACTAAATTTTATATGAGTTTTTTTTATATAATTTTACCGTTAAATTCTAATGACCATATGAGACGGATTAAATAAATATTTTTTAATCAATAAAAAAATAAAATTTCTCCACTTTCATTCTTTCTTCTTTCTCCTACTCCTCATTTTCTCTTCATTTCTCTCCATAACTTGGGAAAAACTCAAATTTTCACAACCATATCGATATCTGACTACATTGACACATTTTGTCACATAGCATAAATTCTCATCTATTTGAGAGTATCTTCCAAACTAATACAATTCTATTTTTTGTAATAAAAAAATAATACCATTTCTCTAAATAATTAGGGGCCTATGATTATAATTATTTTTTAAAATAAATATTATTCCTATAAAATTAGATAATTGATAAGAAAATAGAGTGTAGAATTGCCTTTTTGACAGAAGAAGAATGGGGAGTGTGAGATTGCACATTTGAAATGCTTGTCCCGCTCCCTTGCTTTTTGGGATTTTGCACTACTCAACTATATTTCAACTACCATGTTAGTTGAAACTAAAAACACAACCATTGGATAAGTCTCATGTGCGACAACCTAATATACAATTAAGGAAAAATATTATCTATTTTTTATTATTATTTTTTAAAATAATTAGTAAAAAATTACCAGAAATATTATTATTTTTATCGATTTTATTATTATTGGACGCTTTACTGGGTTAGGTAATATATCTGGAAGAAAAAATAATATTTTAGGTAACACTTTACCGAATATATTATCAAACTCGGTAAAGCGTTCAATAATATTTTGAGTAGAAATAATAATATTTTCGGTAATTTTTTATCGATTTTATTAAAAAATAACAAAATCAATAACATATTTTCATAGCCGTATATTAAGACCGTCGCACGATAGAACTTCCCTGACCGATCCCTCATTTTTGGTATAATCTATTGCACTCTATCCCTTCAAATTACCATTTGTTCCATCACTAGAAACTACATAATCATCGACCACTCATTTCTTCCTATAGATGAAGTAAGCTGTAGCCCACACTTGTATACCATCATGTTTATCAAAAAGGTTTTAGATATACAGAGATTAAAACATCATTATCTTTATTTAATCTTAATTGTGAATGAAAAAAATTAGATTATTTATAATAAATAAAAGAGGATTGAAATGTAATTATTTATATTGAATTAAATCGTTAAATTAGATTATTGAAACGATTTAGACTTAAATTGGAATTAATTTAGAAATGAAAGGGAAGATTTAGTGAAGCGTGAAAGAGGTAAAAAGCAATAGACAAGAAAATCCATGGCGACGCGATAGAAACAGTTGTCTTTTTTCACGACAAAGAGAAAAACATCCTAAAATTTAATTAAAAAGCTCACATTTCCTTCCTCTACTTCAGATCCTTCCCAGATGCCCAAATCCTCTTTTCCCCTTAACTACCCTTTCTACCCCTCCAACCTCCACCACCGCCGCTCCCACCGTCGCCGCTGTCGCAGATTTCTATGTTTTACAAAGGCCCTTTCATCTTAGCTCTTTCTCTCTGCTTAGGACTCATTCTCGGCGCCGGCTAAAATTCAACTCCGATAGGATAAGAAATGCTGGTTCCTGGATCTGTAGGGTTTGACGTCGTCGTTTTGGTATCCTTGCTTGGTGTCTTTTTGGTAATCCGCCATAAGTTGAGGACTGCGGCGGCCAGGAAAGAGGAACTTACGAGGTTGCTCGAAATGGTCTCGCATGAATCCGCCGTGGTGGAAGCTCAAGCCACCGCTGAGTACGGTTACTATCCCAAGTACCAGTGTGCTGTTTGCTTTGCCCCTACAACTACCCGCTGTTCTCGTTGCAAATCTGTTCGTTACTGGTTCGTCCCATTTCTCCCCTTTTATAGTTAGATTTAATGTTGACCTAATTTGTGCAAATAGAAAAGTAATTTTGGGGGTTGGTAAAGAGTTGGATCTACCGTTTTTTTTGTTGAGAATTTTTTGTTGACAGTAATTGCAGCTGTTGAATGTGAATTGAATGATGAAGATGAAAACTTATTTCGGCTTTGAAGGGGCCAGGAGGAATGGTGGGATTACTTTTTTGAAGGGAAGAAATTATAGTGTTGAAATTTGACAGAAACTGATTGGGACTTCCCCATTTTAGTTGTGTTTTAATGAGCATTGTAATTGTGAATCGTACTTGATTTTACTGAAGTTCAGAACTTAGGCCTCTCAAGAAGTTCTGAACGGTTTAGGCCTTAGGGTTGTATGTTTGTTTGCTTATAAAATTGGTTCTTACAGTAACTAAAATTCAGTGAAAAGATCAAGCTGAGTCGTTTACATTTTCCCAGAGGATGGTCTTTATGTTTTATTTGATTCATTACCCCGTTATTGTTGTTGTGGTATTCTATGTTTTTGATATTGTTTATTGGGATTCTGTTATGGAGGAAGTGGGAATATGTACATTATGTAGATTCGTCTTAGAAATGTGCATTGACTGACGCTTTCGGCAGCCACTTCTGGACCATTTATTGAAATGCTGTTTTCTTAACCTTTGCTTGCCGATTGGGTTCGAGTTTTTAGCATCATTCTTGCTGATAAATAGTAGCCTTCATTGCCCTTATATGCATAATTATTTATCTCAAATTTGCATAGTAGAGCTTTACAACGAAGTTCCATGATAAAGAGTGCCATACAATTTAAAGATGTAGAAGATAATGCCTGGAGTTCGTTTTCAGTTTAGCATAATTAAATTACCATTCAACTAGTGGTTGGCTATATGAATCCCTTGTCTCTTTGGAATAAAATTTTCTTCTTCCATTCTTATTAAAGGTATCAGCCTTGTTTTGTTGTATTGTATTGTTATGTGGTAAATATTTTGTTTATAACATATAGCTCTTTTTTAGAGTGCCATTCTATTCTCTTTGTGTGGGTGTCATCTATCATGGTGCCACACCCTTCCCTTTTACGAGTGGGAGGTGAGTGGCGGCATATATCATGGTGGCTTGAAAAGAAGATTACATTGTCTGTCATTTTTCTCCCTTTGATTACTTGTAAAATAAAATAGATGTGTGCCTTTTTCTAGTAATTCTCTTTAGTAATTGCACTGGATAGTCGGGTATATTTGCTGTGCTATTTTCATCATTTAGTATTAACTTCTTTGTTGCCCTCTTATAGTTCTGGCAACTGTCAAATAATGCACTGGAGACAAGGCCACAAAGATGAATGTCACCCTCCTGATTTTGCAGCGAAAAAGCAGTCTGGACTTCACAGCTATGATTCTGAGGTGGACAATGCATTTAATATATCTTCTGATTCCTCATCAGTGGTAGAAGATTGTGATGGTGGTGGTAATGTTAAGCCTCATGTAGATGCCATAGAAACAGTACCATCCAGTTCCTCGTCATTAACCGGCTTGAGTCCATCTGGTGCCAGTAGTGAATCACTGCTTGATGTTTCTCCCAGCAGGACTCTTCTGTCTGGCCATAATGACAAGTTAGGCAGACAGAATTCTGATGATATTGCCACTGGTATACCTAAAAGCAGGACTTCTGCTAAGAACATGAAAAAAACTATCTCGCCTTCATCAGAGTCTAATAATTGGAGCAAATTAATAAACAAGAAGAAATCCACTCATGAAGAAGTTGAAATGAGAAGGCAGATTTTTAAGAATAATAATCTCATGCCTGATGGTGGCCATCCTAAAAAAGGTGTCTATAACAAGTCAACCAGAGCTGTTTCTTCTGAATCATTAGGTACTGATGCATCCAAGATTAGTAACTTAAGATCCCTGGGCATTTCAAGGACTAGAACTGTAACTGGTGATAGAGAAGATGTCTTGCAACTTTGTGAAAGTAAACACTTCACAACTTACTCATGTAGTACTTCTTGTCATCATTCATCTTCTGCACCTGGAGGGCATTCTGTTCAGAGTTCCAACTCTGGCTTGCCTGCAAAAATTAATGCTGCCCCTACCTTGCCACCGACTTCTAGTAATGGCTTGAAAATGTCCTTGAGGAAGGTTGTACAGCAGTTCAAAGCCTCCAAAGAGTCTAAATCTCATCTTTTTGGTTTTGGTAATGAGGCTGATGGAAAACACAATTACAAGGTGGTTTTCGAATTACAATGTTATTTTGTTGATGTTATCATAGTATTGTCACATCATATTCCAATTTAGAGCAATTTTTTTATGTGATTTGGCAGATTATCTTTCCATATGAACTATTCATGGAACTATACACTTATGATGCAGTGGAACTATGCCCATTTGGCCTTAATAATATTGGGAACAGGTGACCTTTATACTTGCACTTATTTCAGTTCGCAAAAAATCATTTGTTATCTCGAGAATGGTTTCAAGTAGTTTGCATTTTTGGAACTTCTTACTGTTGCTAATATGGTATGCTGGAACTTTTGCATATATCTTCACCTTTAGATTACAAGATGGGTACAATCATACACTTGGCGTATGACATGGATTTCTTTGTTTTCCTTCAAAATAATTAACTATGAATTATTATTTCTCATCTACTATGATGTAACAAAGTGTGTATTTGAGTTGCTAATTTATACTTTTCCTTTGAAAATTACTGCAGTTGTTATGCTAACGCTGTCCTTCAGTGTTTGGCTTTTACTCGGCCGCTTACCTCATACCTTGTCAAAGGACTCCACTCTAAAGCATGCAAGTTTCTGGACATTACTTTTTCATTGTCTCGTCCTTTATTCATACCACTCCTTTAATATGATGTTTATTGTTGATGTGTAGGTCGAAAAAAGGAGTGGTGCTTCATCTGTGAGTTTGAATGTTTGATTTTCGAGGCAAAGGAAGGGGATTCCCCTTTGTCCCCAATCCGGATATTATCCAAAATACAAAAAATTGGAAGTAATCTTGGTCCTGGGAAGGAAGAGGATGCCCATGAATTTTTGAGGTGAACCAACCATTAAAACCTTTTCTTTTTGTATACTACTATGGTTTAACCTAGTCAAATGTGAATTAGACTTCACATCAGTGAGACGACAGGTATGCAGTTGATGCAATGCAGTCTGTTTGCCTCAAAGAAGCAAGGGCTACAGGTCCACTGGCTGAAGAGACAAGTTTAATTGGCCTGACTTTTGGAGGTTATCTTCATTCTAAGGTTTTCCACAATTTTGATTATCCATTATGTCAACGTATTTATTGAATTTATTCTTATTCAACAGACACAAAGTAATTGTGATTTTTGCTATTTTGTTATGGAATTACCATTATTGGGTTGTCAGATAAAGTGCATGAAGTGCCTTGGTAAATCTGAGAAGTATGAGAGGATGATGGATCTAACTGTTGAGATTGATGGGGACATTGGAAGTTTGAAGGAGGCACTTGCACAGTTTACAGCTACAGAAATTTTGGATGGAGAGAACAAATATCATTGCACTAGGTTTGTTGCTTTTTAGTGTGCCATATCATTGATGTTAAGGTTCCTCATATTACCATGCCTTCTTAGCTGTTATGATTTTGTTCTAGCCGTGTAATTTTGAAATCTCAGTTGATCTTAATCTGTATTATCGCTCAATGAACTCTGACTTTGGCTATTTTACTGTGATGTTATTACGGTGATTGCATAACTCGTACTTTTGTGGCATATTTGTTCCAACTATAGCATTTTTACTTGGATTGGCATATAATTATTGTTGTATGTTCAAAGCAAACATCCAGGAGTTATAGCGGTTCGACCTTCTCATGGTAAATTTTTCCTTTTTCAATCAGGTGCAAATCTTACGTAAAAGCAAGAAAGAAGTTGACGGTATTAGAGGCACCGAATATTCTCACCATTGTTTTAAAGCGGTTCCAGGTAATTCCACAATGGCGAGTTTCTATTTGTGTGCTTCCATGTTCTTATTTGAATGTCAACTCTTGCTTCACCATCTGTACTTTTACAGTCTGGAAATTTTGGGAAGTTAAATAAGTCGGTTCAGTTTCCTGAGATCCTTGATTTGGCCCCATATATGAGTGGAGAAAGTGATAAGGTTGTCATTTACAATCTCTATGGTGTGGTGGTTCACTTGGATGTAAATAATGCTGCCTTCTCAGGACATTATGTTTGTTATGTGAAGAGTTTCCGAGGGGAGTGGTTCAGGATTGATGACAGCACGGTATACTCTTTTCCGATTAATATATATGGAGATCTCTCTGTCTGCAATCATTATATACACTACTTACTATACATACACCTGACGTGCAATGTGTTTTGTAGGTAATACCAGTTTCATGGGAGAGGGTCTTACTTGAAGGGGCATACATGCTACTCTATGCGAGGTAAAATGCGACTTTGAAAGCTTTGTTAGATGAAACTTTGGTTTTATTTTTTATTTTATTTTTTTCAGAACAAATAAACTTTAGTTCTTCAAAACTTTAGGCACTCTCCAATGGCCCCGGCTTTGGTTAGAAAAAATCTGGAGTCTCATGGTTCCAAGACTGGTAGGAATTTGGAAGCTGTTCCTTATCGCCATGACGTATCCAAGTCTAGACCCGACTCTAAATTTTCAAAGTTGGATCCATCTATAGCACAACGGAAACACAAGCATCCTTCCATGCAAAGAATTCCTTCAGCTGATTCCTCGAGTGAGAGTTCTTCCATTTTCAGCAGCTCTGATGCAAGCTCATGCAGCACAACAAGCACCAAGGACTCTTCCAGGAGTGAAGACTTCTCAGATTATTTATTCGGTGAAACGGGACCAGAATGGTACAGCCAATATGGGATTTCATCGGAAACAGCTGCCTCATCCTCCTATCATGATTTCGATGCAGATTAGGGACGGAGATGGATTGCCATGGTCGGTGGTTGAGGGGGATGGGAATTCATCAACATTTTTGTACTGACTCAGTTAGACAGCGTTAGAACAGTAACGGTAGAGCGACAGGCATCGAGCAAGGAGGCTGGGCTAACCCATTTGATGTAAGATCATCGGGTGTTGCATATAGCAGAGCAATCGTAGACGGAGCGACTCAAACGTTTTATTGAGGTTTGAGTTGACGTATAATAAGATGTAACTTTCAATTATTAAGTTTATCATTATGATTCATAAAACCAGTAATCATCGTTCTTTGGCATTGCCCCATAAAATTACCTTAAAAATGTGAAGCATGCCGTGTTGCATCGAACAAGGACGGGTAAACATCAGTATGGAACCACCAGTTGCCTGAACGTTCAAATAATAACAATGACTTGAGCTTCTGTCTGGCTTTAATATATATTTCACTTGTACATTATCCAAGATTTCCGATTTGATCCTACAATGTTTCTTTTTTCACTTTGTCTCTCATATGATTGTTCGTTAAAGAAGTGGGAGGGTCAGGGAACGGCTGAGATGTGCCACGTGCAGGTTGATCAATGTGATGGGAAATTAAGTAGAAAGTTCGACGTTTTGATTTGTGACATCGCATACCCTTCAATCGTTTGACTCAATTATACGCACCTTGGAAAATATTACTGACAGCTGCACAAAAAATTTGAATATCCGATTTTATGTAAAAATAATATACGAAATCGGATTTGGAAAAAATCAGTTTTTTTTAAACCAGATCGAATTTTTTTAATCGGTTATTTTACCCGGTTTGAAAAAAAACCTAGATTGGTTTTTTACCAGATAAAAATCGGTTTGAAAAAAACTGGTTAAAAAACCGGTTTTTATAAAACAAAACCGATATAGGTTTAAAAAACTAGCTGTTAATATAGTTGTTGGAGGGGTTTTGTGACCGTTTTGACCATTTTTTTCTTTAAAAAATTACAATTTTACCACCCTAAACATGTATAAATAAGTTGGAGATGTATTTGGTTGATTACAATTTTTTCAAATCTTATTACACAACACCTAAACATCTCTCAAATCTTATTTTTGTAATTTTTTGTTCATCATGAGTAACACGGCTGAATCTTTCGTCGGGGGAAACCTTGAAGTCGTGAGAGTGATCGAACACACTCGAAACAAATATATTTGGGATAACTACGATTTATGTGAGATGTCAAATGGCTGAGGAGGGCGCGTTGTAAACTTTGTCTAAAGTTGCTTGCACCGGAAGGAAACACAACGTTGAAGAACCATTTGACAAAATCATGCAAGGCACTTCGCTCAAGATTGGATCCAAGTCAATCGAATCTTACACCGTAAGGTGGTGTTTTGTTTACGACAACGAAAAATTACGAGAAGCGTTTACAAAGTTCGTGATTACAAAAGCATTGTTGTTCGACCACTTTGATGATGAAGACTTCACGGCAACAATTCAACAACTAATGAAACCACGTTATACTCAAGTAAGTCGTACTACCCTTAGATGAGATGCTATAAAAGTGTCGCGTACGACGAGGGAAAAATGATTTTAGGATTCCAAGAACACCGTTATGGTGTGTCACTTACATGTGACGTTTGGAGTTCCCCTCATAATACCGAAAATTATTTTTAGCCGTTACGGCACATTGGTTAGATCAAGATAATTGGCAAATGATGAAAAGAACAATCGCGTTTGAATTATTCGGTGTGCCGCATACCGGTGCTAATTTATTTACACTTTTAAAAAGGGTTGTCGTAACCGATTTTCGTCCGGGCGCGAAATTTTTACTTGGCGGGAAAAGTGATGTGAATAAATTAATGATTTTGATTTTTTTTTAAAAATATTTTGGGAGTCGCCATCGGCCTTTTGGGTCAAGTAGGTCGAATACCTAAAAATCATCTTTTAAAAGAGTTTTTAAGAAAACATCGATTAAAAGATGTTTTAACCAAAAATTCATTCTTTTTAATAATAAAAAGGGATTCGTGATCGGTTACGTTTAGGGAAGGATTAGCACCCCTACAACGCCCAAAATTGGTACTTTTTAATTATAAATTGTCTCTAATAATAGAATTTAAGAATTCAAATATATTTAATTTATAATTCTGTTATTTCAAATTTATTGCTATAATTTTTAAGAAAATCTATTCAAATATAAATAAAATATTTATTTATTTAGAAATATCAGAAAATGACTTCTAGGTGCCTTAAGACAGCTCTTTTCTTCGATATTTAATAAATAAAAATAAATATTAAAAATGTAATAATTTAAATAAAACTAAATTATAATTTTTATAATGTTTAATTATTTAAAATAACAGAATAGAACATCCAGTTGTATTAAGACTGCCATTTTCTTTGATATTGAAAATAAATAAACATTATTATTTAAAAGAATATAAGTATATATTTACATGACTAAGATAACAATAATAAAATAATTATGAAAATAATAATTTAAACATATAAAATTAAAATATAAATAAATAATGAGTAAAATAAATAAAATTAAAACTAAATATAAAAAATAATAAAAACTTACAATTAAAATTAGTGACTAAATTATAACGTAATAAAATAAATACCTAATTAATTATTAATTATTTAAAATTTGAGTGACTAAACATACTATTCTCCTTATTTATTAATTTAGTGACTAAACTAAAATTATATAAAATTCATATATCAAATTAAAATAAATTAAAAACATGCATTCGAGATTAAAAAATTAATTATTAAAATTAAAGGATTAAATCAGTAATTTACCTAAAATATTTATAATTACGGTTAAGGACTAAAATACATATATATAAAATTTGAATACCGATTTAAAAGGATCTAAAATTTGCTTTAGTGACTAAAATGTAAGGATTACAAACTAGGATGGCTGCGGAAAGGGTTTGGCCATGAACAAAATTACATATATACCCCTCCCAAAACGGCGTCGTTTGAGAAGGGGTATTTATACCCGAAACGGCTGGCCCGAAGGGCCAGCTCTCTCATTTCTTCCTTTCTCTCTTCTCTCTTTAACTGAGAGAGCTTAGAAGCTCTCTCAACTCTCTCTTATTTTCTCTCATCGGAGGGAAATCAAAGGATAGATCGGCACTGCTAAAACTGTTTCCGCCCTCTGTTTCCCTTAAAAGGTCCCGAATTTACGTAGATCTAAAAAACTACCTTCGGTTTTTTGGTACTCCGGCGACGTTTGGGATTCACCAGCGAGGTAAGCTCTTCTTTCTCTTTTTCTCAGCTGGTTGTTGTGTTGCTCTCTGTATCTCTCTTTTTAGCTACTGCTCGCCGTCTTTTCTGTTTCTGTCTGTGTTTTCCGTTGTCGTCCCCTCTTTTTTTTTGTTGCAGGTGAGCCAAGGCTTTATAGCCTCGATGAGGCTCTCATCGGACCGGTCCCATGGGTAGCATCCTTGGTGAGTCACCAAGCTATGGCGGTGACTCACCATAGAGCACTGATTTGGTGAGGCATCTGGCTTCTGGAAAGCTCGACGAGGCCGGCGTCGTGGAAGCAGCAGCGTCGGCAGCAACTGGTTGGACCATCTGGCAGTGGAGACGGCATCTGGACGAGGCACCTGGCAGAAGATAGTCGGTGGGTTTGGTTGGCTTCAGGGGCGGCACCGCGTGGTTCCTAGGGTTATGATAACCCTAGGGTTTCTTGATGGAGCATCTGGGGACCGTTGGATCAAGGACAGATCCAACGGTGGTGATCAATGGCGACTGGGAGTGATAACATAAACCCTAGTTGGGTTTAGGGTTCTGCTTGGGCCATTTCTGATCGGTCCTGGTTGTAATCGGGCCAGAGTTGGGCCTTGGGTTGTATATGTAATAAAATAATAATATTAATAATAAAAATAATAATAATAGTAATAAAAATAAAATAATAAATATAATAATAAAAAACCAAATGTAAAAAACTAGTGTCTTCAGCTGCCCTTCTTTGCTCATTCTTGTGTTAACAAGAATAGGGCAAAGACGAAAAGACAATAAGTTTTTTTTCATTTGACTTCATTTGATTATGATGGTAATGTTGAACAAAATCTTCTTTGGGATTAGTTCTTCTCATTATGAACTTTTCCACTGGGGATGATAATTTGTCTCCTTTTGTAATGTAATTTAGCAAAAAGTTAACAAGTTCTTCTCTTTATGAACTCTTTCACTGGGGATGACAATTCATCTCCTTCTGTGATGTAATCTGGAAATATTGATACTGATCTATCTACTTCTGTGATAGAATCATGCAAAAGATTGAACAAGTTCTTCTCATTATGAACTTCTTCTTCCTTCTTCAAATGAGTTCTTCTCATTATGAACTCTCTCTGGAAAAGTTGATCCATCGAGTGATGAATTCGAGCAAAAAGTTGAACAAGTTCTTCTCATTATAAACTTCTTCTTCTTTCTTCAGATGAGTTCTTCTCATTATGAACTCGCCCTGGCAATGCTGATCCATCGAATGATAAATTCAAGCGAAAAGTTGAACAAATTCTTCTCATTATGAACTTCTTCTTCCTTCTTCAAATGAGTTCTTCTCATTATGAACTCGAAATGGTAATGCTGATCCATCGAATGATGAATTTAAGTGAAAAGTTGAACAAGTTCTTCTCATTATGAACTTCTTCTTCCTTCTTCAGATGAGTTCTTCTCATTATGAACTCGACCTGGTAATGCTGATCCATCGAATGATGAATTCAAGCGAAAAGTTGAACAAGTTTTTCTCATTATGAACTTCTTCTTCCTTCTTCAGATGAGTTCTTCTCATTATGATCTCGACCTGGTAATGCTGATCCATCGAATGATGAATTCAAGTGAAAAATTGAACAAGTTCTTCTCATTATGAACTTCTTCTTCCTTCTTCAGATGAGTTCTTCTCATTATGAACTCGACCTGGTAATGCTGATCCATCGAATGATGAATTCAAGCGAAAAGTTGAACAAGTTCTTCTCATTATGAACTTCTTCTTCCTTCTTCAGATGAGTTCTTCTCATTATGAACTCGACCTGGTAATGCTGATCCATCGAATGATGAATTCAAGCGAAAAGTTGAACAAGTTCTTCTCATTATGAACTCTTCTTCCTTCTTCAGATGAGTTCTTCTCATTATGAACTCGACCTGGTAATGCTGATCCATTGAATGATGAATTCAAGCGAAAAGTTGAACAAGTTCTTCTCATTATGAACTTCTTCTTCCTTCTTTAGATGAGTTCTTCTCATTATGAATTTTTCCAGAAATGTTGATCCATTG